ATGTACACCAATATGATCAGCGTTTTTTGTACACGCAATAACAGATGAGAGTGACTTTAGATAATATACTCTCATCGATAGGTAAACCCAGTCATAATGATCCACTCTCATCTGTTATTGCGTGTACGAAAAACGCTGATCATATTGGTGTACATTTGGTCACATACATTTGGGACCTTTCCAGTGTTTACAATTTTATGTAAATTGTCTAACTTGTTATCCAAATGCTACACTGAGATAATACATAGTCACTGGTTGACCTGGTTTGCACAAAAGAACATGTGGTTATGTTTGTGATACTGTTTGTGAGCAGTTGACCTAGCAATGAATGGAAAAGGTGTGGCTAAATGTTCCGCTACGAAAAAACCGGAAAGGTCCATTACCGACTGGTTTACTAGAGTGCAACTATCAAAAAAGGCAAACTCTATAACTTGTTTAAATATCAGTTTGAGCGTGAAGACTATTTGACATCATTGCCAAAACACTCATACTTACCTATTATCAAGTTTAGGACTGCAAATCATAAATTCCCTGTTGAAACTGGACGTTGGTCTAATATCCCATATACTAATAGAAAGTGCCCACTGTGCAGAAATGACCTAGGTGATGAATGCCATTATTTGATGGTTTCTAATCTAAAAGAAATCAGCTTATTACAAATTATTTTCACAGTAATCTAAATATCATTAAATACCAAAATCTTCTTAAAAGTAGCGAAATCCTAATTTTTTTAGCATATTTTTAGCATACAAATTTACACGTTAGTTTTACTTTTTGAAATAGTATTTCACTCAGACAGTCAATGACATTCCATAGTTACAGTAATGAATGACGTAAAAAAGTTTTACACGCTTTCCACGTGCTTCACTTTATCTCCTATAGAAATTAGACACTTAAATATCGCTGTCCCCATACTTGATTTTATGTTAAGTTTTAAGGTTAAAAAAATGTTTCTAGTTGTATTACATGTACTATTTTTCGCTTGATTATCTATCATACTTGACGTAAAACATGTAACCGTTTTCTGTTTGATACCCACATATGTATTTATTTACTTGATTATTGTAATGTCTGTTGTTACAAATGTAACCTTGACGAAATAAAAGAATGTTGTAGTGTATTGTATTGTTGTATTGATAAATTGTAACAGCGTTGACATGTACTTTAAAGATCCTGTATGTTGTAACTAAGGATGTAACAATACTTAAGTGAATTTTTAGATATGTATATAATTATTCTTCTAAAACAGTTTTCAAACATCCAAAATATATTAAATATACTGCAAATGTTTATTTGCATTATATGTAATTACTAAAATACATTCATTCATTTCTTTTTGAAAAAAAAAATGGCTTGGACTTTATAAAAATACATTTCTAATTATATCCCTTTACTCACATGAAATATAATTTCTGTATTAACTTTTACAAATAATGTTGTTGTTTTTTGGAACTAACAATATTGATAAATCTTCGTTTGAGCATCAAATTTATGATATAAACCCATAAAAATGAGTTACAGCATCTTTAATAGAAACTGCTTAAAGATAAACTATGCTGAAATTTGATATTAGAAAATATTGATAATTGCTACACACTCTTTGTAAATGTAAAATAAACATGTTAAGAATTCACATGAAGTAGTAATGTTATGTTTAAAACTCTACACACTATATAGGTGGTAACAATAAAAATATGTATTGTAATTAAAAAGCAGCCAGTTTTTTGTTGTTGTTGTTGTTATTTTTTAAAAGAAAATACCAACTTTACTTGACCCGTAATAGGGAATTAACGCAGCTTCCTATACATATAGTTTATTCATTCTTTTAAATTCGAATTATACATATTCATTAATAATTTTATAGATTTCTATGAATTTCAGTGATTAAAATATTTTACCCAAGGATTAGCATACTATACAGATTATAGTTTCAACTTGTTTGAAGAAATTGTGACAATACACAAACAAAACAAGACCACATTTTAACATTGTACGTTACATACAAACTCCCGCATCAATTAATGTATATATGTTGCTAAATCAATAAAAAGAATCAAAATAATAAAATAAAATAAAATATATAAATTCTGCTCTGACTCAAAAAAGATTGTAACTTAAAAGAAGAATTTAGTTTTTACTGTCAGGAAGAGCTCGAAGCTTTTAAATTAAGGTCAAAAGCAAAAACAGAATTCGAAAAATGAAAAAGTGCTCGAAGTATTCTTCCATTTTTGTTTGCAAACAGATTTATACATGACACGATAATAATGCAAATAAATTTCTTGAATTTGATATTATTGGCTTTAACTTTTGTATACGATTGCAAAACCCGAAATTGAAATTGGAGACTATATTTAATATTGAGCTACCAAGGAATAACACATGGTATCAAGGTTATGATTTTCATTGTATTTTCATCTTGTATCAACTCTGTTTCAGTGGAAATTTATGCACAATATTGTTTTTGCGGAGAACTAACAGTCTGTATAATCATGCAAATTTGAAAAGAAATTTTGCACGCCTTTTCCTAGTCATTTCAGGAAAAGGTACATAGCCAGTTTGGGAAATTTAAAACTGCTTAACTTGGGAAAATAATTGGTACCTTTTGAAACCTCCTTCAGGCTCTTTTGGCATAGCATTTTGAATTGTGCAAAATTGTCTATTCCGACCAATGCACATAATCATACACTTATTATAAAGGTGCCCATATCTAGAGGAGCTGCGAAAAGAATTGTAACCAGCAAGAACACCACTGCAGGAGAACATCTAGGGGAACCTTGATGCCCTCTGGAGGACCTACCTACCTACCTACCTCTGAGTACTGCCAACCCCTCTCGCGAGTGTTATAGGCAGGAAATAGTGCGCGTCGGGTGTGTTAGTGAAAGGTGGCGTGAGAGAAAGTAAAAACCTGAAAATGAGCATTATCAGGACAGTGAGAGACATTGAAAACTTCTTGTCATTGTTAAAATGTTTTTATTAGTAAGGGTGAAAGGAAGATTTAAAAGTAAAAAAAACACAACAAGACAACTAATATTGTATCTTAACCACTGCCTGTTTGTATTGATCTAGATCAAGCAGGGTGACAATGTTCGATCCTTGGGAGCTGGTTCCAAAGTGTGATACAGTGGGGGAAGAACGAGAACTTATGGTAGTCTGATGTAACCTTTATTTTCCTAAGAGAGAGGGCCCCGGGTGCATATGTCTAGTTAGCATAGATGGAGTTTTAATTTAGGTGGGAAGGCTAATGGCTAATAGATTATGGTAAATTAAAAAAACAAAAACAAACATAATACATGTAAGTCCAAAGTCTAGTCTGCGATGCTCGAGAAAACGCCAGCCAAGATCTTTCTGCATGGCTGTAACTAATGACAAGGGGGAGTAATCCTGTTTACCCTGCGTATCGCTCGTCTTTGGACCATCTCTATTTTTTGGATGTTTGACTGTGTGTGGGGGCTCCAAACAGTTGATGCATATTCTAGCTGGCGTCTTACTAGGAATTTATAAGCTAGTTGTTTTACTTTTTCATTTTTGTATTGATATTTCGTTTTATGAAACCTAGGGTTATATTTGCATTTGATGTAATTCTTGAGATGTGTGTGTGTGTGTGTGTGTGTGTGTGTGTGTTGTAGTTTAGGTCTGCAGACATGTCAAGGCCAAGGTATTTTGAGCTAGGAATTGATGTTAAAGCTTGGCCATGAAGGAAGTACTTGTTGTTGATGACTTTTTTGTTTTTAGTGATGTGAAGGACTTGACATTTTGAGGGGTTGAATTCCATGTCCCACTCCTTTTCCCAGATTTGCATGTTATTGAGATCCTCCTGTAGGGATTGTGAGTCCGAGGTCGACTTAATAGTAATGTAAACCACAGTGTCATCTGCAAAAAGGCGATTTGAGACTAGAATTACTTTTTTACACTATCGTGTCCCAGTGCATTTTATCGCCGTGTCAGACGCTCAAGGTGACGTTGTAGACAAGACCGAAGATTGCAGCGATATCGAAAATATTTATTCGTAAGTATACAATTTCTCTCTCCAAGAAACACCAATAAAATATTTCATTACAAAAATTGAATAGCCAATCAAATTACAGCTTTCATATCTCGTTGGACATAGTAAACAATATGGCCGACTTGTTTGATTTTTGAAAACCGATATAAAATATATTCAATAAATAACGAGTTTTTCTTTGCCTAATACAGAGTAGAAGGTGACAAGAAAGTAAGTTTAAAAATTATTTATGTACGTACCATTTTCCAATTGTAAACATCACTGCTAGTGAGAAAATTTTGACTTAAAAGTTAAAATACACTGATAACAGTGATAAACAAGCTTCGACATGTTTCTCCCTTGACTTGATTCGAACTTATAATGCACTCCTGAAGACCTATTGCCGTCTTAATACTTCCCCATGTATCATGTTATAATTTTGCTATCTTATGCTCATCACTCTTGAGCCGGACAATGATGATAACATATCAAATTATAATAAATTTAATGACAGACCTGCAAAGAAAAATATTGGAGACAGGGTTTTTTCTCAGGATTTTGGGAACTTTACCCATACCCATGGAATTTGGAATTTCAACTATATTTTGTTAAAAATTGGGAAAAAATGCATGACTGAAAATTTGCAGTAATTAAATAAATGCAAACAACCATTGTCTAAGATGGCATTTTCAAACATTTAAGAACTATAACAGTGAAGAAGCCCTTATTTTCAAAGATTTTAGAGTTTTTATTCAACATTTTTATTTTGCAACTTTCAATTGGGAATTTTTTCCTGTGGATTGGGAAAATAATATACTATTTTCAATTGGGAATATGACCGAATATCGGCTATAAAACAAGCCCAAAAAAATCCTTGGAGATGCAAATTATTGACTCATTTACACAAATGTACATTGCTACTGATTTATCTGGTTGTCCATTCAAATATAATTATTTTGTAAACCTTAAAAATCCTCGGGCCAATTATTAATTTGTAGGAAGTGGGTAGCTATTATATAGTCCAACTACCCAGCAAACAAAAGACGTTGTACCAACGTTGTACTGACGTTAGACCCTGACGTTGGGTAAACGTTGGCAGAAGGTTGGATTTGAAAGTTTTTTAGACGTCAGAAACCGACGTCTATACAACGTCATAAAATGACCTTTATCCAACCTTTTCTGACCATAATCCAACCTTTTCTGACTATTATCTGACCATAATCCAACCTTTTCTGACCATTATTTGGACATAATCCAACCTTTTTCTGACCATAATCCAACCTTTTCTGACCATTATCTGACCATATGCCAACCTTATCTGACCATATTTTCTGACCATGATTTAACCTCATTCAAAACTTTTGGAATATGATTTTTTTCATTTTGAAGCTCTTTAATAGGATTAATAAATAAGCATTCTTATGATTTTAGCAATTTATTTTATACTCGGAATCACAAGTACAAAACAAGAAATGTGGTACTATAACAAATGCAAGATTTACATAATATTTTTTGAAACTATTAAACTTGACGGTATGTACTTTAATAACGCTTCACGTATTAATTAAGCATGTTTTAGAAATAAGATAAACAAAATCCTTCTTGAATATTAACACTGACATTTTATATAGCAAACATCCATGCATGTTTTTTTTCTTATATCACCACTGAACTGATCACTCTGAAATTGGGATTTTTCAATCATCTATCCAACTCAATATTCTGAATATTTTGTTATAACTATAAATAGCAATGTTCATGTATCTTCATTAGTATTCTAGCTTCTTTCGTCCTCCTACACTATGTCGATCTGGGGAATACTTTAAGCGTATCTTTACCGTCTCCAACCTGAGATCTCATCACACTTTCTGAAATTAAAAAAAATAAAATAATCAGTTACAAGTGCAAGAAATAAATCACTTATACATATTATAATTAAACGAAATTCTAACAAAACTCTCCAACTACTTAAAAAGATACTTATTATTTTTAATTTAGTTTAAACCATGTAGTTTCGTGTACCTACTGTATATATCTATTAATTTTGATAAAAATGGCTTCGTGAATTTCATTATAAAATCAAGGGTAATAAGATCACTGTATTTTCTATAATATTTTGAAATATACCTGTCACAAAATCTTGGTAGGTTTTCATTTTTCTTTTCCTCTAAATATTTTCATCTTCCTCCTGAACTTTTGACACATGTTGAATTATCATAATTTTCACAATCTGAAAGACGAAATATAATCGTTTTAGAATTTAACCATGTGGTGGAAGGATGTTTGTCTAATACAATAGGCAAAATCCAATTACTATTAATCTTAGTTAACTCACAAGCGCATGAAAAACTGATATAACAAATACAAAAATGAAATTAATTCTACTCCCGCAAAAATTGATATTGTTATTTTTTATATTCAATGTACTTTGTACAAATGCTCATACAACATCAAAGAAATTCACATGTTACTGTCATTTTTATAGATATCATCTCTGCCCAGCATGATCTGGTCTGCTAAGTGTATATAGGACAGACTGGCTTAGTGTAAAAACGTTTTATGATACGAGCATACAACTTGTTGATAAGCAGGCTAATTAACAAACTATTACTTTTATTGATTTATAACTATGATAATGTGTTTTCTGATTGATAATATGTTGTTTGATTACATTAATAAAAAGATAGCTAGTCAAATACAATGTGCTTTCAGATATATCTTACCAAAGTCGTATCATTAACATGTATCAAATGCCATGAATCATTATCATAATATATATAAGAAACACATGGTATGCTAACAGTATGGGTAAAGTACTTCAATTAACAACGAGTAGTTTAACAACTACACAGATATCAAAATCAAACTGCATCTGATACATGTGTAAATGACTGGCCCCTCATATAAGGGAAATTCATGTTGATAAGAAATAAGAGGAAATTTTATTTACCAGCATTTGAATAATAAGAGTCTTACGTACTGCATTTAACTTTTTATTGATTAAATTAATTGCTAGGATATTTCCTACCATTGATTGTGCATTTATTTGGCATGGCGATATAGTGTGGGAAAAATGATCCGATTATACAGACTGTTAGCTATAGCAAATGATAAAGTGTTCTTACGTGGAAACAAAAATATTTATCTCGCGAAATAACGTTACATTAAGTTTTACAAGTCAAACATTTCAATGATCAAATAACCATCGAATCCATGCAAACATGCGGTAAATTAGCATTGAAAAACAATATATAATGTTTGCCTACCTTTTTCTTTTGTTTGGAATATACAACTTTGTCTGTCAACCCGTCGTTTTTTTGTTCGCCAATACAATTGAATTTCAAATCCGATAAGTCGCAAATTCGAATTTACTAAATTATTTACCACTATAAAATGAAGCCCTCAAAAATGATAACAGCTTCATTGTAAATTATATAAACACTTCTTAGACTAATTCGAGGAGATTAGATATAATTTAAACGAAAATAGAGCAAATATATTTCATACTGATCTGCGACTATCCGTTTACAGAGCGCCACCTATCGAATATCGTACGTTAGCCACCCACGTGATACTGTTGTTTTGATGGAGAAAATAAATATATAATGTTCCCTTTCTAAACTTAAACTTACAATTCTCGCTGTTTATGCTTTCATTTATATATATATTGGTTTCATAAATTAAATTCACCTATTGTCAGATTACCGACCAAAACCCGACGTCGAGTCGACGTCAAAATGAAACGTCTGTTAGACGTCGGGGATTCAACGTCGATTTGACGTTGTATGAAGGTCACCGACGTCGCGACCAAAATTCAACGTTGATCCAACGTTGGGTCAACGTCGGGTGTTTGCTGGGTAGAGTGGTTGGACCAATGCTCGGCGCATACCAATGCTCGGCGTAAAAAATATTTTTTTTAGAATATCTGAAAATGTCTAGAGTTATCTCCAATTTAGGTCACTGGTGCTTTTATTTACATCTTTCACCATTTTATCCTGGAGTGGTTCATTGCTGGTAAAGTCACGTGACAATGCTTATAGCAGACGAACAACCGTATGTAATCCCCAACATATAAATTATTAAAATCTTTTAACACTAGAGTTCTGGGGCTGTAAAATTTAAACTAAAAGTTGGGTACTTGTAAATGTATGAACCTAATTTGGTTGTTACAATTTATTCAATATGTTTCCTTCATAAGATAAAAAAGAGATTTCATTCGAAAAACAATCCTGCATAATGTAGAATTGTACGCCGAGCTATGGTACAATTTCATGCAAACCACTCTTGTTTATCCGGACTATCTATAGCTCCAGCCATGCACATCATTATGTGATTAGCGGATTTTACAGAATGGCTATTTAAAACAATATCATCGGTCTTGAAAATGGACATATAACATTGAGGTTTGTTGACGTTGATTTGAATTTGCCATATCAAATATAGTATTTTTACGCCGAGCATTGGTCCACCCACTCTAATTGTACTGCATGATGTGATATTGTGCTACTTTCGTGTCTGGGCAATATATCGCCTCTACAAAAAAAGCAAGATTCTGCCCCAGAATGAAAAGATCTCAGAATCAAGCTTTTCATCTCAATATATTTTGACTAGGTAGCCATACTCAAAGGGGTACGGCTCATTGAATGTTCACAAAATATGACTGTGTTTGATGGTATAAAACATTTATAAATCCTAAGTCAGAAATGAATTCTAAGTCCATTCCCATTACACTATACACTAATATATATTTGGCCATGAAGTTTTTTTTTCATAAACTTTAATCATTAAAACTTGTGATTTCCAGAGAAAAACACTTCCCACCAAAGCCAAAAATAAATGTATATTATGTAATTGATATTCAATAAAATCTTCGTTTAGAAACACAAGTTAAATTGCATATTCATTATTGTTTTAGGTTATTTATTTTAAAAATGCTGCAAGGCTAGCCTCAACAGTGTGTAAAGACTAGTCATACGCGGCTAGAACTTTTGGCTAGCAATAAGCGCCTGTACAGCCAGCTACAGCCAAATTTGTAACTGGCGTTCCAACCTGTACCTTTTGATTTTTAGGGAACACTTTAAACGTTAACACAATACAATGTAGCAAAGCTGTTTGAAGACAGAAGTTGTCCTTTAATTTATAACAGAATTATGAACAAGAAGTCTTATTTATAGATAATATGAAAGTAAACAAAGCTTATGGAAATCAGATTGAAAATCAAAGGCCGGCATAGAGTCTCACACAACTCGGCCACTATTTTGTCAAGTTTTCAACCATTTCACTAGCTTGAAACAAGTATGAAGCCAGTTCATGTCCTGTCCCTTGATTACTGTAGGATTAAAACATGTCCCAAATTAAAGATTATCTTATTCTTGCCATTGAAACATCAATTTACCTCCTGAAATGTCTTTGTGATTCCAATAACAGTCAAATCATGATGTTTTGTCTTAAAATTGTGATAATTTGAAAACAACAACAACAACAACAACAAAAAAAACAAAACATTTGCATAACATTTTCTATGTAATTGTCTAGCAAATAAAAGGCCTGTTTTAGAATTAAAAGCAATTTTTTTATTTTGTGACAATGTGTCTGACTTCAGTTTCATTTTAAAATGTCACTAATTTTTTTTATCACCAATCAAAGATTTAATTGCCATTCCTTAACTTTAGGGAAAATAAAATGGTATTTTTGCAAAACTTGAAAAAAAGGATGAAAAGACTTGATCAATGTAATTACTGCAAACTAAATTTTAGGGGAAATCTACATGATTTCTAAGAATTTTACAGAGGGGAAGAGACCATGCTAAAATTAGAAGGAAGAAAAGCCCTGATTAGGCCAGCCAAAGCTGGAGGCAGTTATCACACATTATTCAAGATTTTCTAGCTTCTATAGTAAAGGTCATGTCATTTGAGAACCCAATTTTTTTCCCACATATTTTACAACCGAATAAAGGCTGTTTCCCCCAGCACAAAATAGGTATATTTTCTCCTAAAATGCTATTTTTTCCCCTGAAATGCCCTGTGCACATTCTTCACCAGAACCATGACTTAGCTCACTTATATCAGCTAGAAGATAGATAAACTGAATTGTTAAGAATTTAAGACAGAAAAAATAATCACTGAAGAAAAAGGTTGAAATGCAGAATTAATGCAGAAGCTGTACTCTTGGAAAATGAATAGTAATCATCACTAACAGGTTAACTCCTTATAAAATTAAAGAGTTAATCTGTAATTGCGCTAAGGGGAGGAATTTGTTGATGCTTTACTCATGCTCAGTTATAATTTGAGTAACATTTCTTCCAATTAATGCACTGTACAAGTTTGCAAATAATAAAATGGGGAAGAAATGTAAGTAGTTGGTAAAATTGGTAAAGACCACATTCAAAGCCCTTGCTGTTAGGCTAACCCTTTATCAATATAGTTGATTGTCTTCTAGTAATCAATTTGTCTGGAATTCAAATTAAGATATTAAATGATAACATATATATTCAAACTATGTATATCTATTTTCTAGAGGAAGGATGTCAACTATAAGTGACCTTAGTGTACCAGATATTCCACCACTGTCTCCGGGTAGTAGTGTATCTACAAGATTACAGGTAATTATGTTCATAAAACCATTTTATCACATACCTGTGTTGCGAGTCTGTAAAAGCGGTATTGCACGGCCGTGCATATGTTTTGACATGACTTCATTTGCGTTATACACATAGTGTAAAGACGTGCTAAATGTTAGCTTAACACTACAGGCAGGTCATTGAAAAATGACTCTTTTTCACTTTAAACACTCTTTATTGG